CACAAGCTGCGTTCAAAGACTGTCGGAATGCTGTGATGGGATTATGAGCTGCTTGTGCGTAAAATCGTATTCCCTCAGAGTTTGTTCAAGTCCACAAACCTCTGTCTGTGACTGAGCCCCTCTGACATGGCTCCTCTTAGTCACTAGAAGATTCCGACAGTGGTTGCTTTCGTAATCGCTTCCAACATAAAAGCTCCTTAACGGAAACACGTCTTCTGGACTCTCTGCGTGACAGTTTCCGGCGAGGAGTGGGTGTCGCTACAGGAGGTCCGGAAACCTCACCACTGTTTTCGCTGGAAGTATCTCTGAGCCCTCCCCCAGCTCCCTTTCCCTCAGTTCAGCTTGTCTCCCCTGCTGGTTTCCTCTTCCGCTGCTGAGTCTCTTCCAACCTGTCTGAGCCCTTTCACCTCCCTCAGTTCAGCTTCTCTCCCCTTGCTGGTTCCCTCTTCAGCTGCTGAATCTCTTCCAACCTGTCTGAGTCCTTTCACCTCCCTTCCTTCCGATGGCAGTTCCCTGACAGCTTGTATAAAATCACACTCCAAAGTTGCAATCTTTTGCCCACTTCCCTGACAGTGGTCCCCACTGAACTCAGTGGGACTTACTTTTGAGCAGACATAGAATCATACAGTGGTAGAGTTGGAAGGGACCCTGAGGATCATCTGGTCCAATCTCCTTCAATGCAGGAATATGCAGCTCCCCCTTACGGGGATCAAACTTGCAACCTTGGCATTATCAGCACCATGCTTTAGCCAACTGAGTTATGTATTAGCACTGTACTGAAATGTGTGAGGGCAGGAATGGTGGAAGAAATTTGAATATTGCCTGATGCATCAGGCAAGACTAGTATGTTCACCGTTTTCTTGGTTGTGTAGATGTACCGGGGAAAAGATGGCATGGCAATTCATTTTTATTAGAATAGTCCTTAACTCGTTTTACTGGAGGGGCCCCTTGAAGAAGAGCGGGAGATTGGTGGTTTGAAGGCACTATGCTAGCTTTCCAGGAGGCAGGTTGCTGTTCCTTACAAGGGGGGAGACAGGAAGGGGTAGTAAGGCCAGCACGGTACAAATGCACCAGCAGGAACACAGGATTGGTTTTGCCAGTGTGTTTATACCACACAAACTTCCACGTTGCCTCGTCCCTGTTCCTCCCAACATGCAACAGTGACCCACCTCCCAGGAAGCTAGTGTAGTTGCTCACATGGCAAGCCAGTTCTTCAGGCCAGGATTCTGCTACTACCTTTCAGGTGTGTGGCTAGGAGCTGCCCCTTCATACATTTCTCATGCCTGTGAATTGGCTGCAGATGGCCAGTGGTATTCCTCAGGTGGCTGGACTTTGTTCTGGGCTTGCCTCTTGCTGAGCCCATCTTTAGGTTCTGATGCAAATTGGCTGTTGCAAGCATACCTACAAAGGCATTTCCATGCATAAGGAATAAAATATGTACCCGCAAGTAGAAATCACTACGCTTTCCCCCCCATGCTTAGAGAATTTCATTGGGCAGGCAAAGGGTGCCCTGGGCTTTCTGAGAGAGAGAGAGAACAAATCCTATGGAACAAATTCAGCACTTGTGAAAACACCCTCTGCTTTTCAGAGTTAACTAAACTGGAACAAAACCATGCAATCTTGTGAAAGTCCCGTCAGATTAATTTGGTTTATGAAATTTACAACAGCTCTTCTCTCTCCCACGGGCCGAAAAATACCGCAGTTGTTTGCCTCTCTGAATAATAATCATTACCATCTTCATCTCTCTCTCTTTCTCTGTCTGTCTTTTTTTTCCTTCTTCTTCTGGCGGAGAGTATCCTGACTAGTAATAATAGTGCAAAGCAAACTCCTTTCTTAAAGAAGCCATTTTAAGACGTGAGCCCCTGGGGAGCTGAGTTCTGGTGTGAACACGAGCCTCAGAAAACCGTAGGCCGTTTGTTGACGCTATCGCTTTAAGTGTCGACCCGAAGTGTATTGTGTTGCTTTAAACCAGATTGCCTGCTTAATATTTAAAGGCGACGGTTATGGAATCACTTTATCCCCTCCGAGATTGGCTTTGGAGGTGGCTGGGCAGGCTGAAGATACCCACCGCTCCTACCTACTAGGCTTGTGCCTCGGGAAGGTATTTTTGATCCTTCCTAACCTGCCTGGGATCTACTGGCAGGCTATGTGCTGACTGAACAGAATAGTTTTCTCCAGCACTTTAAAAAGAAAGAGAGAGAGAGAGAGAGAGAGAGAGAGAGAGAGAGAGAGAAAGTCGAGCTGCTTTCTGTAGAGGAGGCAGGGCTTATGGTTTAGAAGGAAGTGAACTGGATAGGTCAGGAGACTGTACCATTTGTGAACACCCCTTTCCCTTTTATATTCATCTGTCAGATACAGTAGGCGTGCTCTGGGCTTGCTGGGCTTCGATGCAAAGCGGGGAGAAAAGCAGCCTAAATGTGACCTGCAGTTGGGAAGCTTGCTGCTTTTCCTGCTTTCCTTTTATCCACCCCCCCCTTGCTCTGCAGCCCACCCCCTGTCCTCTGCCTGGACGCTGCAAGCACTTGGTGCTGGAGTTGGAAGCTGTTTGGGAAAAAAACCCAGCTAACATGGTTTATTCCACTCGCTGCATGTTGGGTAAATTTCAAAACTCACATGGTCGTCCTCTTGCAGTGGAATAAAGTCGCATCTGATGGACGTCTTCTCTGCTTATAGCATAGCAATGAACGTCTGACAGGCGCGACCTTTCATAAGACAGCCCACACGACTGGCTTTCTGCCCAGAATATTGCTGCAACACTGTCTGTGATTGGTTATCTCCCTATCATCATGCCTTGCTTCAGAAGGGGAGAACGGCCCCCTTTTTAATAAGCCCACGATGGCCGGCTGCAATATGCTGCACTGTAAGTATTTTTGTTTTGTTTTGAGACCGAGAAGGGGGGGTGGGGAATCATGCTGTGTAGAGAGTAGTAAGGCGGAGAGGAGCACATGGCGACGTGATTATGCTGTGAGACATCAGTGAAGTGCTGCTTGGTAAATTTTAACGTATTTGTTTTTTCTACAGGTTGGTACTAAGAAGTGCCTTTCCTGACGTCTCTGCTGCTTGGAACCGCTTCTAGAGCAGACTCTGCTTTTTGCCTTGCTTGCTGCCAGCTAGACTGCGACGACAGCTCATCCACTCTCCACCTCTAGCCCAGCCACCCCTCCCCTCATTTCTACTTATAATCAAGAGAAAGAGAGAGAGAAAAAAGCTCTAAGCATCAGGCGTTGCCCTAGGCTGCTTTAGTTATTCTTTTAGAAATAATAAGCATAACGACAACAACAAAAAGTTTGCTGGAAAAGTGAGATAATCTTCTGCCAGAAAGGGAAAAAAAAAAATCAAAGAGAGAAGGAGCAAAATAAACCGTTCCTTGATTTATCTCTTTAAACTGCTGCATCTGTCTGTGCCAAACTAATCGATACCAATTGCGCCACACCAAAAAAATTGAATAAATCGAAATCTCAATAATAAAATTAATAATAACAATTGCAGATTCAGCCGTGTGGAGATTCCCCTTTCAGGCAACTTTTTCCTGAGAGCAGCTTGGAAATTCTCTGCTGAAGGGTCTCCCACGTTCTGCTGCTTGCATTTTGGCCTCCCAATTTGGCACTCAAGAATGGTTTACTGAGAGCACAAGGCTCATTCCAGGCCACACTTTTAAATGCTCATTTTTCTGACGACCTTAAGTTCCAAAACCACCCCCCTCTTCTGATTGACAGTTTCGCGCTGTGACTTTCTAGTGGGAAATCTATTCCTTGCTGTTGCGACAACACAACTTTACATCTTTTAACGTTGGGCTTTGGGGCTTTGGGGGAAGCATTTTGGAGGTGGCATTTTTCATCGTTTCCAGTCTTATCAGTTTGGCCTCTTCTCTCTCTCCTTTTGTTTTTTTTTAATTTGTTTGTTTCATTGACAATTTTAACTACCTGTAAAAAAATCTAAACATGGCTGTAAGTGTCACACCAATCCGGGACACAAAATGGCTAACACTGGAAGTGTGTCGTGAGTTCCAAAGAGGGACTTGCTCACGTCCAGATACGGAATGTAAATTTGCACATCCATCGAAAAGCTGCCAAGTTGAAAATGGACGAGTAATCGCCTGCTTTGATTCATTGAAAGTGAGTAAATATTATCATTCTTTTCAAAGCTAAGACAGAAATAATGACTGAAACAGTTGTAATCACTGAAGCAATTGAGTTTTAAAAGATGCTATTTTTTAATCTTATTAATGAGGTTGTGGTTTTAATAATTATGCTTTAAGGCAGGGAGAGAGTGTGGGGTTTTTCAGAAGGGCTAGGCTCTGTTTTCTTGCAGTTTATTATAGTTCCTTCATCCTTAGAATTACAGTGTATCTTTAAGTTGGAATGTTAAGACGCACCATTTGTGCACCTCAGACGAGTGTTAGTCCATAGTACTGCAAAAAGCAAATACAATTCACGTTTAGACTGAAAGATGGACTCAGGTCTGAACTGTTAAAGGCTGGGATTATCTACCCTGAAAGCTCTTACTGCAATAAATTTGTTAGTCATTAGGACATGAAAGGGTTCTGCTTTTTTCTTTTGCAGAAAAAATTCAACGGATAATTCTCTGTGTGTGCTTAAAGTGAAAAAAATTAGAGTCCTCAAACTAAAGGCCATGTCTTCTGAACAATTGCCTGGTGCTGAGAGCATACCTAGATAGTTGTTGTGTGTAGTCAGCAGTCACAAAGTCTGAGAATTTCCTTCATTAACATTGCACTAAAAATCTTAATTAAAAGATCACTTGTATAAGTCTCAGCTTATGAAAGGATCACCTGTTTAAATATTGGATTTGAAAACCATGTTTCTGCACTTATGAAAGAGAACTATAGCTAATGCTCTATGGATATATTACTGCTTCAGGAAAATGGATGATGTCTAGAATTGCTGTTTTCAAATATGTTCCTGCTTTCATCAGTCAGGCTTGAGACTTATCTTCTGCCCTAGTTTACCATACTTGAAATCCCAGACTTGTTTATTTGGGAGACAGGTTGTAGCTAAGTGGTGGAGCATCTGCTTTGCATGCAGAAGGTTTCAAGTTCACCCCCTGGCATCTGTATGGCTGGAATTGTTCCTTGTCTGAAACCCTGTAGCATCTCTGCCATTCAGCGTTGGAAATACTGAGCTAGGTATACGAGTGGTCTGGCATAAGGCATATGTTCCTTTGAGCATACAGATTAGGGCTTCAGTCTAGCATGCACTTACCTGGGAGCAATCCCCATTGAACATGGTGGAATTTACTTCCAAGTAAAAATGCATAGGCTTACGCTCAATGCACCTTGACCTCAACATGCCACAGTCTATGCAGGTAAAGGGCTTGAATTTCAAATTGCTTAGTCTGATCGACTTAAATGGAACTGAACTGATTTAAATGCAAGTATTTAGGCTTCATTTAGGGTTCTGAATCTGGTTGAGAGCCAGGATGGCTTTTGCATGTTACAGAACAGTGAGAAATCGATACGTGGTTGAGTCATGCACACACACACACACACACACACACACACTTTTCCTGCCTCTGGTGTAATGTCAATCAATCAATAGACTTTATTTACGTAGCCGACAGGCCATAGCATCTGGTGTAATGTCTAAAGAAGTGATGCCTGTAATTGATGAACCTACGGCTTGACAAAGTGGAAGTTGAAGGAGAAATGTATGTTTGCTTGTTTTAAAAATGAAATAGGGTTGCCATTCCAGCCAAATATTTGGACTTGGAATTAGGCTGCAAAGGGGCAAATGTTCAGCTCTGCCTCGTTTATGACTGGACTTGTTCATACTGACTGGACAGCAGTCGCCGGAACTGTGAGAAAAGTAAATTCTCTGCTCTGTGTTTGCTTTGGCGGCTGAAGGCACGTTGTGGGTTGTGACTTGCCATTTGGCCATATCACACTCAAGGTCAGCTTAGATTTTCTTGCTGTAGAATAACGTTGTAATACCACTTGTCAGTCACATAGGCCATGTTGGAGTGACGATCTTCTGCCTGCCTGCTTATCTATCTCTTTTTTTCTGTTTTCTGATGCTCCATAGCTAGCGCACAAATTTCTGTTGGCCCCGGGAGCCTTCGTTGCCAAAGCTAGTGAGCCAAGGATTTGTCGTTTTGTTCTGCTGCTTGGCAACCATAGCCATTCTTATTTATTTATTTATTTATTTATTTATTTATTTATTTAAAATAAATTCATATATCTTTATTAAAAAGTTAGCTCATGACAGTTCAGACTTCATGGGGATCAGGTCGTCTGTAGCCTCTGGACATATTATAGCCTGTGTGTCTTCAGGTTGCCAACAAATTACTGAAGCAAGGTAATAACTCAACTCACTTCATGGCAGGAGAGATCACAAATGACCAGTGCACCATGTAAGTACAGCCACAAGAGGGTTTGGTTTAAGACAGATGATTAAGGGAGATGATTGCATGATTCCAGGCAATATCTGCTTCAGGTGTCAATTATCACGGTCAAACTTTGTGAAGAGCAGCGATGTGCACAGGCCCATCAGATTTGCTGCATACCATAGCCATTCTTAAGGATTAGGAAAGCTCTCCATTAAGCGTTGCTGCTAGGTAACTTCCATTCATTTGATTACGGGGACCATCGTGCAAGCTGTTGTTGCAGTGACTGAGGGATGCAGCACAAAGGGCAGATGAAAGACACTCAATACTACACCTTAGCCATAGGCCATGGGTAAGGAGTGTCAGTCCCCGCGACCAGATGTGGCCCTCCAAGCTTCTCTATCTGGGTCTTGGTGACTTTGCCATCCCACCTCTCCCCTCTCAAGTGATTTGTTTTCTCATATTTGTATCTCACTTCTCATCCGTTACGGAGCCCAAGGCGAAACGTGTGGTTTCTGGGGTGTCTTCCATTCATTCGGTGTTCCGGAATGGGGAAAGGCTGTAGCTCAATGGTAGAGCACGTACTTTTCTTGCAGAAGGTCCCTGGCATCTCCAGTTAGAGCTGGGAGAGACTCCTGCCTGAAACGTTGGAGAGTTGCTGGAAGTTAGTGTAGCCAGTACTGAGCTAGATGGAGCATTGCTCCGACTCTATATAAGGAAACTTCCTTTGCCCCAGGCTCAGGCGTTCTTAGCACCAGCAAGGTAAGTGCCTTCGGACCATACTCTCAGCCATTTAAAAACGTGGATTTTCAATACAAAATGAAACAGAGCAACAGACTATATAGGGAAGGGATGAGATCAGTGTTAGAAACTCAGATATATAAGCCAGGCGCCAAATGGCTTCTTAAACCAATGTTACAGTCACCAAAACGAAATGTCTAGTTGTCATTTTTGGGCAAGACAGTGCTAAATATGGACTGACTGTGATTGAATATCAGTTAAACATCTGGCTAGTTCAGATAACAGCATCTCTTCTCCCCTGTTGAGCCTGAAGGGGACTTCAGTCTTCTGTGGCAAGGATGGGTGATGTCTCGATGCCTAAGCATGGAAACTTTTCAACTGGTGTGGGGAAGACCTGACCCACCAGATGTTGAGGAACTGTAACTCACATCGGCGCCAGCGAGTATAATCGATGGCCAGGGATGGTGGAAACTGTAGCTCAGCAACATCTGGAGGGCCAGAGGTTCCTCACACCTGCTTTAAAATGTTGAATAGGACACAAAGTGAAAATTTTGTTGGGCCACAAATGGTGTGCAGCTGCAGTCAAACTATAATTAAACATTTTATGTCCCTTGATCATGAAATTTTGCTTTTTATGGAACTATTCACAAGGCTGGTTTAACTGCTTATGGGAGTTGTCTGCTTATGGGAACAAGTGTTCTGTTGTGAGGAGGAATTGCAAAGGAGACAGCAGCTTGACGTCTTGGAGTGAATTCTGGTTTTCAAGCTCCCGCCATGCATGGAAGTTGATGCGCTATCTTGCTCAAGGCTCCACAACCACCCTAGAACTAGCACCCAGTAAGCAATGACAGAGTTGCCATGCCCAGAATGCAGAGTCTGGTGAAATTGAAAATCCACGCACACAACAATATAGTGTGACTTTATTTTGATTTTGATTGACCATACAAAATTTTGTTTTTTCAGTGTTTTGCAAGCCGCCTTCTAAGACGTTTTCCTAAAAGATGTGTTGCAAATGTAATAAATGGAATCATAGAATTGTAGAGTTGGAAGGGACCCTGAGGATCATCTAGTCCAACCCCCTGCAATGCAGGAATATGCAGCTGTCCCACACAGGGATCGAACTTGCAACCTTGGCGTTATCAACGCCAAGCTCTAAGCAACTGTGCTATAATACAGAAAACCTGTGAATCCAACAGATGTGTTTGTGCATTGTTACTCTCACATAAATAAGATTACCATTTAACCTAGACCAGCATATTCTGGCATAAATTGGTAATAAACACAGACCCTTGGAGATTACTCATTATTTGGAAGACTCAAAATCCTGAAGACAGATGCAATCCCCAGATACTTCCCATTTTAACACCATAGCAAATTACTTTCACTCATTTGCTTAGTTAGTGCATCACATGTATGACTCCCTACTGGCATGCGCGCGCGCGCGCACACACACACACACATATATATATATATATCCAGGAGGGGGAATGTAAAGCTTGGCAAGTGTGCTAACACATATGTTAATTAAGCCTGAGTATACTTTCAAACGATGGAACCGAATCAGAAGATTTCTTTCAAGCACATTACAAATCAGAGTTTTCACCTTAATGCAGGATATTTTGAAATGTTAAATCGTATTGTCTCTTGCGGTTGATCCATGCGGCTATCAATCTCAGGTCAATGGATTAAATCGTAGAGCCCTTCATCTCCTCCCTGTGGCCAGAGTCCCATCATTTATGAAGAAAGCTCCAGAGCTCAGTGGTTGGGCCCATGCTGTATATATAGAAGGTCCTAAGTTCAGATCATGGCATCTGGCCAATACCTTAGTGACCAGCAAAATACGTCGGCATCACTGGACTAGAGGAAGCAGTGGTTATCTGATACCGATAACCTCAGCACACTCATATAACTTACATGACTCCATAATAGTTTAGCAGACCAGGTTTTCCACCAAATGGAACAAGGTAGTAGTGGGGTAACCTGTACCAAGTTATGTGTCTTCATATGCATATTGATTATTTATAGTGATGTGTGATTTATGAAAAAACGAAAGGTAATCAGCAAATAAAACAAATTTAATAAAATCCCAATAAACCACAACAAAAACTAGTTCAACAGATGGCAATGTAAAGTCTACTGTTGTTCTGGAAAGGATGGCAGTGGAGAGGCTAAATTGACCTCTCTTGGAAGAACGTTTGAGCATTGAAGCTGCCAGCAAGAAGGCTCTGTTCCTTGTAGAGGCTTAACCTAGCCTCTCCATAAGAGAAGATCTGGAGCAGGATACTCTCAAAAGATGTGTGTAATAGGAGAAGATGTTGCCTGAGATTAATCAGGACCTAAGCTGTTTAGGACTGTAAAGGTCAGGACTTACACTTCAAGTTGGGCTTAGAAACGAATTGGCAGCCGATGCAGCTGTCTCAAAATAGGTGAAATATGAGAGATCCTATCCGTTTCTGTCAGCAGGCAGGCTGCCATATTCTGAAATTTCTGAACTGTTTTCAAAGGTAGCCCCATGTAGAGGGTATCACAGTAGTCTAATCTGGACATTGCTAAAGCATGAATGGCATTGGCTGAAACATTGCTAGCATGCACCTTGAGATGTCTGACATATGGGAGTTGAAAGCAGGCAATGCCAAGCTTTTAATAAGTAAACATTTTAATATTTTACAGTCTATTCTTTGTCCTGCCTCAGAATCTTTCTGAACCCCTTTATAGGCCAGGATTGTTACTGAATTTCTGCCCTACTTCCAGCAGGAAAATAAATACTCCTGCACCCCCTGTTTGTAATTAGCTTTAATGTAAGTAAAGATTACCGTTGTTATTTATTATGCAGGCTTTCGGGCAATTAAAGGGAAAAAATGAGGTTGTATTCTGAGGTCAGTCTGGTCTTTTCTGCCTCATGGCAAAAAAATAATAATACAAACTTAAACTGTTGAAAATGAACAGCAAGTAAAATGTTTCTGTAAAAATAAGATGTATATTGCAAAATAAGCTATACGTTGTATATCATGAACTAAAATGTTTGGTGATGATTACATTTATGTGAGGTATATTTTCTGTACAAACACCTCAGTAGGAAAAACAGTTACAAAACTGTTAATCTAAACAGTTATAAAAACATTTAACCACCTCTAAAATGCATATGAAAATAATAGTAAATTAGTTCTAAGGGCTAGCAGCCTTTCATATTGGAAAGGACATTGAAGGTTTGAGCGTGCCTATGTTATGAGGGTGTTAATGGGGGGGAAACCAGTTATTACTCAGAGAGTGTGTATATATGTGACTTGTTTAGGTTAAAAAAATAAACATTTAGCAAACTCTCTGGTCTGATAAAAGGTGATCAAGGTAAGGCAGAATATTTGTAGTTCTTGTCTAGCAGCTGCATTTGAGTGCATGATGGATATCGCCCAATATGCTTTTGCTATTTTTAGAATATTGTAGCAGGCAAAGCAAACACTTTCTGAGGAGTCCCTGTGAAATGGCAGAACCTTCAGCCGCGCTGTTTCAGTCTTTGGCTATTCTCCCAGGTACCACTGCATTTCATATTCTCTATGGACCAGGGGCATTTGGTTCAAAGAAAAAAATGCAGTTTTTTAGATGGCCACCTACTGAAACATATATATATATATATATATATATATAGTGTGTATATATAGTGTGTATATATATATATATATAGTGTGTGTGTGTGTGTGTGTGTATGTATACACACACACACACACACACACACACACACGGTGAGTCTTTTAAAAGAGGACCTGTGGAACGTGTATACTCTGTATCCATGGGGCCTCTTTTAAAGGACTCACCCTGTATATAGTGTGTGTGAGAGAGAGGAGGGGGGAGAGAGGGAAATGAATAGAGGGTAGCTCTATATGGGGCTACCTTTGAAGGTAACCCGGAAACTACAACTAATCCAGAATGCGGCAGCTAGACTGGTGACTGGGAGTGGCCGCCGAGACCACATAACAGCGGTTTTGAAAGACCTACATTGGCTCCCAGTACGTTTCCAAGCACAGTTGAAAGTGTTGGTGCTGACCTTTAAAGCCCTAAACGGCCTCGGTCCAGTATACCTCAAGGAGCTGATGTCCAGCGCCAAGGGCCTTTGGGCAGTTCCCTCACTGCAAGAAGCCAAGTTACAGGGAACCAGGCAGAGGGCCTTCTTGGTAGTGGCACCCGCCCTGTGGAACGCCCTCCCACCAGATGTCAAAGAGAACAACAACCAGACTTTTAGAAGACATCTGAAGGCAGCCCTGTTTAGGGAAGCTTTTAATGTTTGACGGACTATTGTATTTTAATATTTTGTTGGAAGCCGCTCAGAGTGTCTGGGGAAGCCCAGCCAGATGGGCGGGGTATAAATAAATTAGTATTATTATTATTGATAAAAAACAACAGGGAGGGAATCTATCTTGGTGGTAGAACAGATGTTTTGCATGTAGAACGTGCCAGGTTTGATCCTTGGGATCTCCACTTGGAAGGATCACATAAAGAAGATAGAAAAGACCTATGCCTGGGGCACTGCTAATTGGTTTAGTTTCTGTAGCTGAACTGGCTGATATGGCATAGTGCAGGGATAGCCAACGTCATGCTTGCAGGGACTGATGGGAATTGTAGTCTCAACAACATGTGGAGGGGCCCCATGTTGGTTACCCTCAGCGAAGTGGCTAAGGGACCGAGCTGTGGGGTAGAAAATTCCATCTAGCACAATAAGTTCCTGAGGTCAGCTTGTTTAATATTCGCATTCAGCCTCTCAGAGGAAGAAGATCCCTTTTAAAATATTGTTTCAAATTATGTAAGTTTTGTGGGATGAAAGGAAGCAACAAATTTGAACTATTTGATTTTGCCTAATTTCATGGTAGCGTAAGCTTTATTTGGTTGTCGGTCAAGAAACAAATTGTGGAAGCGTGATTTTGTTTCTTTGAACTGCAGCAGGAATTGCCTCCCGTTAAAACTCAGCTTGCCTCAGCTTAAAACATTCGAAAACTTCATTCACTCTAATGTCTACCTTGTTACTTCCCAGGGGACTAACTGCTGTTTTCTGTTCCGATGTGCAGGAACACTTTTACCTACGGACCTCAAATTATTTCTTGCTAGGACTAAACTGCTAAACCTTTGTTACCCATGCTTGAATTTTATTGAAGTCTGCGTGATTTTCACCACATGATAGCCATCATACTGTGTATGCAAAAGTTGAATTGAGAGCGGCGTCAGACAAATTTGAGAGTCATGTAGAAGCTACTTAAAAAGACTTAACTAGGTGGCACCATTTTGGTTGGCAGCTGACTAGCTTCCAGCATCTCAGATAAATTTGCTGTTATTATTCCACTTTAGGAATGGAATAGACTACATAACTGGGGCGTGGAGATATATATTTCCCTATTTGGTTAAAAGTGCAAGTAACTTCCTGACCATCTGAACCCAGCTTTGCTCTTTAGCTTTACATTCATTTTTGCTTCTCCTAGACTCTACACAGAATGGAATCAGAAGTGTATAACAATTGCACTGAGAGGCTCAAAAAGGTGTTTGTATGTGTACTATTATTATTATTTTTATTGTATATATCCCGCCCATTTGGTGGGGTTCCCCCAGCCTCTCTAGGTTGTTTCCATCACATATAAAAACATAATAAAATGTCAAACATAAAAAACTTCCTGATACATGGTTGCCTTCAGATGTCTTCTAAAAGCTGTGTAGTTCTTATCAGCAACAAGCTCTGAGCATTGTACATAAAATAAATTCTGTGGAGGAAAATGGATATCCATATTCTTTGTCCACTTTTTCTGTTCTTCCTTAGCATCTGCACTGCTCACACAAGGTAAACAGTTCAATCTTGTTGATGTCTACTGAGAAATAAGTGCCATTATTTTGAGTGCAGTTTGCTCCCAGGGAAGGGCATTTCGAATCAGAACTCATATCGCTTGTCCAAACAAGTGCATATGGCAGGAAGACAGAGATGGGTTTTTATGGGATATTGAGGTACGAGTGAGACACAAAAAGGCCTTTAGCCACTGGAAATCACTTCCATGTCTTTGTTGTGCCTCAGAGAGGAGGCAGTGTGTTAAAGCGGTTAAACTATTGTGCGGGGGAAATCCAGCCTCACACTTAGCTGTAAATCTTGCTGGGTGACCTTGGCCTAGTCGCAATTTCTCATCTTAACCTACCTTACAGGATAGAAGGGGAGCAAGACCTGTGTATGGCACCCTAAGTCCTTGGAGGGAGGGCAGGGCGAACCTAAAATCATATAGGTTAGTTATCAGTTTCAGACAAAACAAAACAATGACTAATCTGGAATCTAAAGGACATGTTGGGTACTGTGCTGACAGCTAGATTCCATAATTTACAGCATGCACCAGCAGTCAGCATATTGGTGTCTCTGCCTCTTGTTTTTCTGTTTACATCTTGCAGGTCCTTTCTGCTTCACAAGTGCATTAAAGAGAGAAGATAAACACACTGTGACGGGTAATCAGCTGTGTATATAGAGCTTCCTCCACCCACTTCCTTCAAACTAAACATGGTCAGCTGAGTTTTTAAGCTGTTCCTTTATCTCTCCCCCCACCCCAAACCATGTCACACACTGCAGGCGTGAAATAAGCTTGTCGACTCTTAAGTTCTCAGTGTCCACATCATTACAAAAATACAAAGGCTGAGCTTATGCTAGCATACTTGCTGTCAAGTTTTAGGACTGAATTATTTTAAAGTGTGAACTTCCCCAGGGCGAAAAGCAAAGAGACAACTGAGAGCAAAAAAGACGGGGGGAAAGGGGGATATGGTATATCACTTATTGCAAATACACTTAAAATGGTAGGAACCTAAATAACAGAAATTCCAGCAAACAGCCGACACTCTTATTATTATTTTGCTGGATCTCAGATACAAATTGTGATGAAGAGAAGAGGAAAACGGGAACCAATACGTAGTTAACACAAGATGTTTGTGCAACATCAATTTTTGATGCTCTTTCACAGTGCATCTGTTTTCAAATAGGTCTTGTTTAGCATGACCTACAGGTGCGCCACACTGAGCAAATAAAGGGAAGGAAAATCTGATTAGCAGCACAGTCTTTAGTTGCGTTCAGTTAGAAGTTAAGTCCCATTGATTCCAGTAAGACATGCTTCCATGCAACTCTCTTTAGGGTTGCAGTGTCAAGCCATCAAGCATAAGTGAGTCGTATTAACTTCTGTTTGCCCTGTGGGTTTAACAAGATGTCATGGCTGCTGCCAGCTTGCATCTCCTCCATGCATCGTATTGGTAACATCATGTCAAAGCCTGTTCCTTATCTTGCCCTGGCCAAGATTCCTACGACGCATGAATATTGTCGGTTCAGCATATGTCAAGTTCTGTATGGTGGATCTGTCCTTGAATACCATTCAGATATTGCAGCTGGTACAAAATGCAGTGGCTAGAGTGTTGTTGAACCTTTTTGCACAGAGCCATATTAGCCTGTCCTTATGACACCAAATACTGGCTGCCTGTTCATTATAGAGATTAATTCAGTGTGCTAGTTTTGATGTATAAAGCTCTGAACAGTTTGGGACCTGATTACCTGAAGGAATGCCTCTGCCTGTATTTCTCTGTCTGTATTTTAAGATCAGTTATGGAGTTTGTTTTGATGACACCATAATTGTGTGAAGTTATAGGACCTTTTTAGCATTGGCACCCCTGCTCTGGGATACAGTCACCTCCCCAATTGTCTGGTGGCAATGTTGTCCACCTTTTGGCCTTTTCTTCTTCCTGCATTTCAACATGATTATTTTTGACCTGTGTCGGGACAGATAGGAAAGACAAAGTAGCGTTCTGTAATTTTACTGTTTTCATAATGGCTTCCTCCTCCACCCTCCTCTCTCTCTCTCTCTCTCTCTCTCTCTCTCTCTCTCTGCGTGTGTGTGTGTGTGGTTGTTGTTGTATTGCAATGAAATTGTTGCTACCAGCCCTGAGATCATCTGTGATGAAATACAAGATATAAATTTCATAAACAAAACAAAACTGGCCAGCAGAGTTGCACAAAGACTTGGCCAAGATGACCATTAAATGCTCATATTTTACAGGTAAACAGAGCTTGAGTCTTCACAGTTGGTAAAGTGTTAGGCATGGCTGATTATTATTATTTTGCCTTTGATTTTCCTTTGCAATCGTTAATCTACTGGGGGAGTCAGGAATCCTCACTAATCTTCTGCAACTCACCCAAATATCTACAGATATGTTTTAGTCTGCTGTCTGATCACCCCCATTGAAAGGTAAACAAGTGCTTCTTCAGCTTGGAATACTGTATGTGATACATGAGTCCTTAAATCAGCCAAAGAGCTTTAGAACAGCCGTTAATAGAGGTAATACCATACTCAAATGTTACTGCTTATGAGGGACATTTTATACGAACTCTTTATAGTAACTTACTGCCCTTCTAAGAGTTTGGTTCTGAATTAACTTAGCCCAAAATCATCAGCAGTTTGATTTTGCTGAAGGCCAGTGAGAGGTTTGGGTTTGCTCTTGTAATTTTGGTAGAAGGAGCCATCACTGGCAAGTAATTTTGCTGGAGTAAAACTTGTCAAATCGGAAGCGTATATTCATTTTGGGGAGGCAGAACAACATCCCAGTGTACTCTGTGGTGGCATTTGTGCTGAAATGGGAACTCCCAGTCCACCAGTAGCAAAGAGCAAAGTTGATATCTGTAACTTGACCCTATAGAAATAGATCTATTTTTAATTTGTGCTGAATCTCAAAGACACAACGCTTAAGCCAAATCAATTAGT